ATAACAATACAGCTTTAGTCTGCATCTTTTGCTTTTTAAGTTACACAACTATGAAAAAGTATTTCCCCCGTATATAAATTTTTTACTTTTTTGCTAATTTGTTATGCATGTTTAGCTTAGTTTATTCATTTCACACATATTCCCATTCACAATGCAAATACTCAACATATTTCGATAACTGTTTGAAAAGGAAGTAGACAGAAGTATAAACTTATCTGATCCCGGCCTCTGACTTTTTGGCTTACTTTTTTAGTTAAAAGAAATTATTTTAAGAGACAAATAAATACAAAAAGCCTTTTATGCAGTTTAGTCCGAACTTTAATGTCAAACCTTTATTTTGTCACTCACAGTTAGCATGCTGATTGTGTTTGCCAAATATTACCCCTCAAGATTTTTTTTATTACAAAAATAATTTACAACAAAGTATCCAAGTCCAAAAGCAGCAGATCAACCCCAGACCATAATGCTGCCACCACCATATGGGACAGTCAATGTGTTCCTTATGTGTAATCCTGGGATAGGTTTATGCTGACTTATCTTCCAAAAAGATCCACTTTTGTTTTCTTCAGTTCAGAATATTTTCACTTCAGTCTAAAAAATCAAGGTGGGTTTTTTTTCCAATGCGAGACCCGCAATAATTTTCTTCACGATTCACTTCCATCAAATTTTGAAAAGAGCTTGACAAAAACAAATGAGGTACCAACTACTATTACTAACTTGGCTCCATTTGAGCCCACTTGAAAAATTTCTTTAGGTTTAGACAAGGATAATATGGCCAAGTTACTGTATTATGGGATAATAGGATTTTAAATAGCTGCAGTTTGAAAGAAATGAAATGCTGCTGGTCAGCAGCTGAAAGGAGGAGGCTACACATATTTACTAAATTTTTGCTCAAATCCATGTATGAAAAGTAAAGCCACTGTTGATTTATTTTCAATAAAACATTATGATGTACATTTTTATTTTCGATTTTGACCATGAAACTATGTTTTATCTACAGTCAACTGGAGCTATCAAAAGTCAGAAGGGAAGATTAGCCCAAACCCAATTTGTCTTAAAAAAGGGAACATGGTTAAGGAAAAATAAAATTGATGATTTTTTTTTTCTTTTTTCTGCTAAGTCTTCATCTCCTTCTCTTGAAATCTTTCACATTTCTTTAAGCGCATGACACCCTTTGTCATTTATAATTGGCTTATTTACTACAACCTGTTGCTGTAACTACATGCAGGTCAATCGTAGTCCATAAAAAAACAATAAACATGTCTAGATCAGCGGGTCTACTGCTGGTGCTTCTGCTCCATAAGCTGAATTCGGTAACACTTTATTTGAAGGGGTGTGCATAAGATTGACATGACACTGTCATAAACATAAAGTCTTGATGAATGTTTATGACAGTTGTCATGAAGTGTCATTCGGTAAATAATGACACTTTTAATGGACTTTCAATGCAACTTTTAGAAAAACTTTGCATTAAAAGTGTCAGTTACCGAATTACACTTCATGACAACTGTCATAAACATTCATAAAGACTTCTTTATGTTCATGACAGGTTATGTCATGTTTATGACAGTGTCATGTCAGTCTTATGCACACCCCTTCAAATAAAGTGTTACCCTGGATGGTTGATTTGCTCCTGGCTTCACCCTGTCCACTAAAAACACATTTTAAATGGTAGTTTTGAGAATTTCCACTGATGACAAACATACACAGAAAATCATTGACCATCTAATTTTGTTCCCCCATATATTTATAAAAGAAAGAAAGGGTGTCAAATTTCCAATTGTTAAAATGTTGGTCTGATAAAACTGTTTTACCTGATAAGATTTTCTTTACTCCACCATATAGTTGGGTTGTTAAAGTTCACTTAACTTTAAGTGAAAGAATAAACTCAGAGAGAGAACACATCCTTCCTTAGCCTAGATCATGTTCATATCAAGTCAAAGATTTTTAACAATTTCTGTGTTTATTTCAGGCTTTAAAGTAAATTCAGGAACATAAATGAAACCAAAATTGTGGCTTTTTAAACACAGTAACCATGTTTTGAAACCCACACAGATGATCTTAGTTCATTTAATTCTTCTTTTATTAAAATTGTCTGTTTTGACACAAAATAGGGCTGCACAAGATATCGCATGTTTATTGTTACAATAAAAAAAAACATATGCTAAATGAGAAGAGAACTGTCTGGACTACATTAAATGTTTGCCAACTATTTACGAGTGGTCCATCTATGCCTGTAACACATTTGGTGACACTTGTTGAACCATCCATCCATTGTTCACCCCGTGGTTCCTCGCAGGTGGGGCTGGTGCCCATGTCCAGCAGTAATTGGGCGAGAAGTGGGGTTCGTTGTTTAACGTAGCATAAAAATGTTAAAGAGTTAGTAAGGTGGCAGAGTAATAAAGAAATCAAAAGTAAGTTGTTTTAATACCAAGACAATAAACTAAAAGCACCGTTTTAAATAAAACTTTGTTAGAATGGAAATAGTTGTATATTTTTCAGTAGCTGGATGGACTCAAATATCTGAGATTCTTGCTCACCATAAATCATGAGCAGAATAAATCTTGCACCTGGGTTTTGCTAATTTTAGTTGTATTGTATCGTTATCGTAGCATTCACCAAAATAATTGCATATTTTCATAATATCGTGCAGACCTAATACAACTGTTTTGGAAAAATGACAAAAACACACCATACCCACTTATTTCCTGTTTTCTAACACAAATTCTAGAGCATTGCTTGTAAACGTATTTGAAGACATCTTTGTATTTGAGTTAATTGGAGATTAGAAAAATACACGTCCTTGATCTTAATGTCCATTGCCTTCTCCCTTCCTATGGTTTTTCTACATAAACCTTAACAGTAACTCTAGCGGATTCCTTTCTTCTGTTCCAGGTCTGTCACTTAAATCATTCCTGAAAAATAAAACTTCAAGATACTAAATTCAGTGCTGGGTAAAACTGGGGAACCGTCATTTCTAATAACAGTTTCATTATCATTTCCCGCTACTTACAAAAATGCAAAAATGAATCTTCAAGATAATAAACGATTAATAATTGCGGGAAATGGCTTTGGGTACTTTTCTAAATATGATGTTGCATATCATCCAAAAAGATTATTCAACTCACGAACATCGAATGAACTATTCGTCCAAATAATTACAATGTACTAAACAGGCTGCAACTATAAAAGATGGAACCACTGGAATCCTAGCAGAGTATTTGAACATAGTTCGCTGTAATAACGCGAAAAAAGAAAATCCTGCAACATTAAACACGTTTAATCGACTCACCGCCTTACTTTGTTAAACGCGGGCTTGTCTTGCTATTAGCCTGCAATGCTAACATTAGCATCAAACAGACCACGGATGCTTCCACCGCCTTACCTTCAGGTTAACGTCAATCAAAAATGTGTCATATCTTTGGGTTGAAACAGTAAAAAAGCTCGTCTTCTGTTGTTTCCGGAGACAGTAAGAACTTGGCCCACTTGCCGGTGCTACACACGAACAAGTAGCAGATAGTTAGCCCTCCAAATCAATCCAAATAACAAGAGAGAGGGGGGGGGGGAAACGTATTTTCTTCTACATTCACATCCGGGTTTTCTTGGCTTTACCGCCCCCTATCTGCTGAAGAACTTCCTCCTTTTGTCATGGTGACTTGTGACTGACAAAACGTGTCTCAATACCGTAAGGCATACTTTGGTAACACAAAAATCTTTGAGGAAATTTTTATTTTTGACGTTGCATCCAGAAAAGTTAGAGACAGTCATCCACAAACTAAATAAAATGAGGAATGAAAATAAGCCCATCATAAAATCTTAAAAATTGTTCCTTATAATTTCCAATAGTTGAAAACCTTTCATATCCACAACAAATGAAGGTGTAAGCAATGGTTGCTGATGATATATCTGTACTACATCTACATTTTTCTTTTAACCACTTTAAATATAAATATGTAGGTAAATGTAAAATTTTGTTTCCAGAAAATTTACAATCATGCACCTTTCCGTTTCGCTTAATTATGAAATCGTCTCTGTTGGTCTATCACATAAAACCTATAATATATTTAAGATCATAACTAATGTGACAAAAATGGAACAATATCATGGATTTAAATACTTTTGCAGAATTGTGCAATCTTATTTTTTCTACTTTTTGCATCTTTGAAAAAAAAAATAATAATTTTAGCTCTTTTTGAACCAACCTTTGCACAATGTGAGTTGTAGAGTAAATAACAGCAAATATGTTTAAAAGTAAAGCACAGAGTGGGTTTTCGCTTGACTAAAATTTTTATTTTTTTTTATCCAATTGTGTCAAATTTGGGAAACCAATAAATATTACTGCCTTTTGCTGAAGATACAAAAGGGAATGAGAAAAAAAGGGAAACTAAGTAAAGTATGTTTTATTTTGGTTATCTGACATATTCACTTAACCAATGCATCTGCAAAGAATGGTATTTCACGAGTCAAACATTTTTTTCAGTAAACACTTATCCCAGTATGCTAAAGCAGACAAATAAGTCTCTGGTTTTCATACAAAACCTAACATGAATGCTTTCTGAATAATGTCCCAATGTGTGTTCCATTTAATCTTAAGGTAACGCAACCTAAACAAATAGAAAAACGAATACTTACTTCCAGAGCTCAGTAAGGTGTCTTCCTATCACACAAAACTGTGAAAAAATATAATTTGAATGTAGGTGAATTACATTGCAACAAATACCAGACAATTTCATTTTTCATGTCACCCAAATATACGTTTTTAGTACAGGCAACATTCAGGGGACTTGCTGTTAAAGGCATGTCCAACACATAAATTACAATTTTTGATAAGTTAAACACACATTTGGCTTCTAATTTTGCAACCGAGATTGAGCATGTTTAGTGTTACACATTAAATCCCTAAACCACATTTTTAACTATTCAAAACATGAATTATTCCATCTACAAAATTCTAATTTAAAGACCTGACACTTTGTAAAGAAGACAGTGAAGTACATTCATCTTTTCTGATGTATCTTTATTACCGCTCCACACAGTTCAAGGATACAAACCTTGAGGGGAAAAAAAAAAAAAAAAAAAAAATCAAAATCAAAATACATGACTTGAAATGCAAATTTACACTTAAGACCCGTTACCCTACGTGGGTTATACTGAGTTTAAGTGTGAAGATTCTATTAATTGCTGTAGTGTGCCAAGAAGTACATATTAAGTCATGTCAAATTTTATGGATTTAACTTACATTTTAGAAATATCAAAAAAAAATTTGATAAACTTTTTTTTTTTTTTTTTTACCTTAAATCAATGTATCAGAACTAAAACAAAATAGACTCAAGACGTTGCACACCCTTGTATGTTTACTAACATCAAGAACAAGAAGCTACATCACCAAACATGTAAACGAATTTTGATTATTAAGTAGTTATGGAATAATTTACAGACTCAAAAGGCTAATGAATGGCAGGGATTAAATTCAAACCTAAAATGTACACTGTGACAAAGCTAATTTATAAGCAGCGGCACGCTAAAAAAACTTCTAAAGTTTTTCTAAAACAGCTTATGAATTTGCCCCCCAGTCCCTTAGGCTCTGCAAAGTGAAAATTATCTGAAATTATGAAAGGAATAAAAAATAATAAAAATGGACTCTGGTTTTATACATACAATTTTCATGAGAGACCTTCAGTCAGTTAAATCCAGATGGCATTTGGCAGTCAGCGCATCTACCGTTGTTGACTTTGGGTGTCCGATTAGAATGCGATGAATCCTTCTGCGGTGATTCTTGAGCGACTTGAGGCTCCGGTACGTTCCCTGACACACGTCGCAGCGGAACGAGTCGGACTGCTTGTGAGTGACCAGGTGTTTCTGCAGACTGTCCATAGTGCCGAACCAGCGAAGACAAACAGGGCAGCGGACGGGCTTGATGGCAGGTTTGCATGCTCCGTTCCTCTGGTGGAACACGAGGCTGATGCTGTTGGGGAAGTCAGAGTTGCAGTGAGAACAGTGGAAGGTTTTGGGTGGATTTGTCGGGGGGTTCACAGCCCGCATGCCTTTGCAGCGATTCCAGGATATGTGCCTACGAAGGGAACAGCGGGTGGCAAAACTATTCCCGCACCGGGTGCACACAATCCGCTGCCCCTTTTTCACGGAGAGCAGGTGTAGGTGTTGGGATGGCTCTGAGCGTGGCGGTTTCTGTGGTGGTGGAAGAACTGACTGGGTGGCCTGTGGCTGCTGCAGTCTCAGTAAAAGAGGCTGTGATCGGTGTCCCTTTGCCAGCTTGTGCTGAGGATGCATGTGGATTTGCAGGTGAACTTCATAGTCAGCCCAGGAATTAACAGTCTCTCCGCAGGTTGGGCATGTGTAAGACTCTTGTGCGTGCTTCTGTAGATGCTCCAGGAGAAGCCTCGGGGATGTAAATCCCACCCCACACTCGCACGTCACCCTTCTTGGGAGCACAGATGGCAGAGACATGATGCCCCAGTTTCCGGCACTGTTCTCCTCCTCTATCTGACCATCAGCTGGCGTGTCGCCTTGCAAGCCCTGCACCATGGTCCCTCCGTCTAGACCAGACATTGTTCGCTTCAGCTGACATCTCTTCCTATGGGTCATCATGTTGTCTTTGCGGTTGAAGGCCCTCCCACAGACAAAGCAGGAAAACATCGGTTTCATGTTAGTGGTGTTTAGAGGTGTGGCACGGTGAGGCTGACTCTGAGCTACAGTCCCAAACCCAGGTGGCCTGACTCCACACAGTAGCAGGTGGCGTCTCAAAGTCGACGCTTTACTGTAGGTTTTGTGACACCTGCTACAAGGGTAACGCCTTACTCCTTCTCTGACAAAGTAGGGCAGCGCATGAGGAGGTATCTCTGTGTGTTCGACAGATCCAGACTGAGTCAGGTGTCTGTCGTTGCCAAGTTTGTTGGTGGAACTGAATACCTGAATCTCATCGTCTAAGGGGATTGTCCACTGCCCCTCATTGCCGTTTTCCCCGTTATTCTCCGCCATTTTCCAGTTTTCATCTTCTTCCTCGAGGGAAGCCAGTGAAGGGTCCTGAAGTGAATCGATCATGGAGGCTTTTAAGGAAAATGGGGTGAAAGTTTTTGCAGGAGGCATCCAAGCCAACTGTGAAATTGCAGACAGCTCTGAATCTTGAGAAGTCCCCTCAACTTTGATGTGAGCACCAGTGTCAGTTCCCACAGAGGCTGTCTTAAATCCTTCATTTGCATCCTCGACTCTTGCCGTCTGGGCACCAAGTTTTGATCTCAGCGTCGACATTCTCTTAAATGAAGTATTCACCTCACCCTGGAAGCCCGACCCAGCACCGTGACACCTGTGTGTTTTAAGGTTCCACCTTCGAGCATAGCTGTTTTTGCACAATGGACAGAAGTAAACCTTTTTGGCATTGCTCAGACTATGAAACGGCACAATTTTGGAGCCAAAGGGCGATTTGTTTTGAAGATTCTTTGCTGGCCAGTTGTTTCTCATCTGAATGCAGACGTGATTGTCAGAAAACGGCAGCCGTCCAATAATGAGCTGTTTGCAACGGCGGCAACATTTAATCCTTTCTTTTTTGTGCAAAAAATGATGCTCTGTCAATCTGTCCAAGTTTGGAAAGACCTTACGACAGCGGCCGCATTGATATCTTCCATAAAGCCCTTTTAAAGTTGGATCCATGAGCTTTTGGCGGGTCTCCAGAACCACAACAGGAGACATAGTCTTAGTAAGAGAGACGACTCTCTTCCTACTTGCAGCCAGAACCTTGCTGATGGGTGGGGCCTTTGTCTTTATTCCAGGCTTAACAAGCAGTCGCCTCATCTGGACAATGGAGAGATCGTTGTTCTGAGACGGTTCGGCTTTAGCTTCTGGGCTTATATCGATAGGAATGTCTTCTTGCTTTGGGATGACGTTGTGTTTGCTTTCATTCTCAGAATCGGAAGACGGCAAGCGGTTCTGATACGCAGAAGCCAGCAGCTTCATGAGGATGTTGTTTTTTTGCACATTTTCCAGCTGATCAGAGAGCGAGACAGAATTGGTGTTCTCCTCCAAATCCATGTCTTCTGTGCTCTCTGGCAAAGGCTCTCCTGTGGTAGACATGCCCTCAATTGGTTTCACACTGACATCTTGAGGGGGTGTGTGCTGGCCATGAGGAGGGGTTACCATGGCAACGCTGTCTTCCAAGGCCACATCTCTTGAAAGTGCATTTGATGTGGGTACCTCAGAGCCTGAGGACTTGGAGGTGGAGGGGGAGCTGAGGTCTAAACCTGCCTCTAGAACGGAGGCGAATGATGTCTGTTGGGCTGAAAAGACATGATTATTCTCTGTTCCACCAGGCAGAGAAACATTATCCTCCACAGGCTGCTGTCGCTGACGGACATGTGACCGTTTATGCTCCAGCATGAGATGGAAGTCTAGAAATTCGTCCCCACAATCACAAATGTAGAAAGAATTTGCAGGGCTGTCAGGCAGCTGAGCCAATGAAGCAGGCTTTTCTGTAGCTGGGACATCATTCGTAACCTGGCTTTCCACCAGACTGTTGTTAGGCCGTGCTGGAGGGGGGGTAGAGCTCTTGGGCTCGGTAGTCGCATGAGTAGCCTGATGTACCAGTAGGGAGGCTAATCCATTGAAGGTGTCTGAACATGCCATGCAGCGATACACTTTGGGCGTTGAAGAATTTCCCTGCAACCCCAGCATTGTGGCGGTGAAACGTCACAATGCAAAGTGTGGTCTTCTGGTCAAGCTCTTGGGAGTCCTATAAATCAGACACAAACGCACACAAATTAATTTCACCAACACAAAACAGATAGGTTTTAGAGTCAAAATATTTTCACTGCCAACCCTAAATTGATCATTAAATTTATTTTCTGTCCATAAAAAGGATTATTCTGTGAATCATAAATTACAAGTTAAAAAATATTCTGTACATGCAAGAAAGATGGAGCTGGACATTGCAAATTTTAAAAAAAAAAAAAAAAAAAGTGTAAGGATTGGATTCATTTGGATTTCATTTTCAAAAACGGTAAGATAAACAATGTCATTACAATCAGGGAAACCAGTAAGCACATCATCTTCACTGCATGAAATATATAAACAAATAAAAGCTGCTATGATCCCTCTGCTTTGGCAGACCTTCAGGGGGCATTGGCTGCATTTTCTTCAACACCTGACCTCACAGAGCACCTGAGGCAGAAGATGGTTTCCGATCTAAAGAGACAGCTGTGCCAGACTGCCATCAGCAGAGTCACCAGATTCTTTTTTTTTTTAACAGAAATTATACTCTGCAGCTGTAGATTCTAATCAGATGTCTACAAGGACAAACAGGTTGGTTTTGAATTCACTCTTTTCACAGATGATGAAAAAAATTATACTGTAAAGCCGAGCCTCACCAATACATGGTGAGGCTCACCGAGCCTTTCCAATACATCCGAGCCTCACGTTCTACTTAGCTGTGGGGTTTGCTGCTGAACAAAATACTATTATGTCCATGCTTTTTCAGAAGATTTTTTGTATTCAAGTTTCACTACAGTTGATCAGTTATTGTGTAATTTTAATAATAATATTAAAAAAAATATTATATTAAATATCATGGTTTTAGTTCTGCCGGATTGTAAAAGACCTCCGACAGTGAATCTGTCAAAGAGCGACCACAGATCTACGGCTGCACAATATATTCTGAATAAATTGTCAATTACTGAAAGATGATCTATTCCAATTGAACATATATTTTACATACCAATAATGCACCTGATATTGTGATCTTGTAGTGTTGTAATGCCTCAACATGGACTGATTCAATCATGATAAGCATGTTTTTGTTTATGGCAGCCCCTCTTCCAAGAAAAAGGTCACAAAAGCTGTCAAGTCGTCAGAGCTTTCTGTAACTTTAAGACAGGTTTTATGGAATATACCTTCAGGTATGTAACCATAGATTAATTGCAAAATTTTAACAGTGCAAATCGGGCATAACATTTGTTCTCTGGCACTAAAACATTGACAGTAGATTATCTGAGTCTTGCAACTAGACAGGCAGGGCCTCCAATGTCCAAGCAGTCCACACCTTAAACTCAAGCTCATTGTTTAGTGGTAGGGCCCATTGTCCTGCCAGAAAGCACCTCATAGCAGCTGCAGCATTGGAGATGTTTTGACCCAACCACTAATCCTGTAGTCTGTGCTTTGTGTCTGCTTCACAATGACGCCAAAATGTCCACTTGCTTTCCAATACATCCCATCCAGAATCACGCAGCAGGATGCCAGGAATGTATAATGACGATCATGTCTACATCCGTATAGCTATGAGGCCTTTAATTTAGGACAATGTCCGGCAATAATACAAGAAGACATGGTGCACGACTATGCCACCAAATTCAGACCAAACCAGTGTATTACATGCATCAATGATACAACTGCAGTGGGACTCCTTGGGATGAGAATGAAACAATAAAAGTACTTTTGGAGGTGGTGTGCAGACCGAGCATCACATCCCTTATTAGCAGCTTTAGAAAAAAGGCTAAATATCTCCATTGAGCATCAGCAGCTCCCCTGTAAAGATGATCAGTGGTACAGCAGTGTCAAATATCTAGTAGTCCACATGAATGATGAAGAAAGCTCTGCAGCGAGAACAACTCCTCGGGAGGGTAGGGCAGGAGAAAATTCCCCTCCTCCATCCTCACCACGGCAGTCTTCAGAGCCTCCCCTACAAGCTGCTTCCCATCTTGGCAACAGAAACAGCAGTCTAGCTCAGAGGAAGGCTGCAACGATTGGTGAGGAAGGCTAGAGAGTCACCAGGGTCTCGGTCCCTTCTCTGGTGACCATTTTGAAGGAGGAATACTAAAAGGGGAGCCTACTGAATCATGATCGACTAGTCAGAGTGCCACCAAGTCGTGGGTTTAATCTACCATCTGGGAGAAGATATCGCTCGACTGAATTGAGACCAACTAGAATGTGGAGAAAGCTTCACGAGACACAGCAAAGCCGCTGAAATATTTGCAATATTTAAATGAAACTACACGACTTGCTGTCATTCTGTACAAAGTTAAAGCAGATTTATGTTTAAGATATTTTCCTAACCAATTTATCAAGTCAAAATATGTTGGCAATATTTAATGCAATAATTTTAAAAAAATCTGATCTTAATATTTTGTGTACTACAATTATTTTCCCTTGTTTCAATCATTGAGCTGCTTTACTACATGACATTAGGACTGCACATTATGTCATAGCTGTTTGAAGCACTATAATTTTTGGCAAATACATTCCAACTGCGATATTCTTGGATTGTTTATGCTAATGTAATATTTATCTAATTGGACAGATTCTCACGACAGCAGATGCTCAAACTGGACACAAATGACCTTGTCCTGAATGCTAAAGGCCGTAGAGTTATGGGAGCACAGATCAGAAAGAGAAGGAGGAAGACAACTGTCGCATACCATGACAGATATCACCATCGCAATATTATTGCCACGGCGAGACTTTCTAATATGCAGCCCTACATAACATCTGATAGTGTCTGAAGAATGAGGTCTGGAGAGAAATCCTGCTTTCCTCACATACACACATGTTGGAAATCATATGTGACTCCATGAGAGCTGTAATCAAAGCTGGAAAGATGGCGGATTAGAGTACGTAAGAGCCAGCATGCAGCAAGAAATCAGGATTTATTTGAAAGAAAAGGCAGAGAAGTTTTGAGAAACTATGGAGTTTATGAGAAAACTTAGAGAGAATGTAAAAAGTAATTCTCCGTTTAAACCCACATATCAGATGTAATCAGTGGGATGCTTGGTTGGTTGACTGTTCAACCTTGAGGGAAAACTTGCAGAAGTTTATATCCAACATAAAATTAAGAAATTATGCATCAAAGCAAGTGTCTGTAACCTTTGTGTTTTCTTTCATAAAGCCAGAACCCTGGGAATACACTAATGAATCTGTCAGTTAAAAGAAGCTAATTTTTCCTCATTAGTAATCAACAGCTCCAATACAAAAAAATATACTTTGTTTGCATCAAGACTAAAGATTCATATTTTCTTTGGTTAGTAAATGAATTAAACAGCTTATTCACTGGCGTTTTTCATTTTGCATTCAGTAAGCTTTGAATGCACCGAGGATATATTGCAGTGGTCTCAAACTGCATTCGTCGAGGACCGGAGTCCTGCAACTTTTACATGCGTCCCTTGTCCTACACACTTTAATTAAATGGTAAAACTGATTCACCCTACAGAGCTCTGCCACTGAGCTTATATTGGAGCCAGGAGTGCTGAAGCAGAGACACAGATAAAATTTGCGATATGAGAACACTGTCTTAAACAATTCATGCTGTCATAAAAGCCAGAGAAGGTCCAAGAAAGAACTGATGACATTTCTTGCTTCACAGTACAATTTCTGTACTTCAGAAATGAAGTACAGAATGCAAATATTCTAATATTTTGGCAGCAAAGTAAATCTGACTACTAAGAGTTGCGATTTTATTTTTCCCAGGAGGTTTGTGAAGGGCGTCTGAAATCCTTAGATATGGACAGAAACTGTCAATCCATTGGGATCTGCAGTTGATCTGTGCATCACAGACCCAAATAAAAAAAAAAAGAGAGAAATGACCCAGCTTCACCTATAAAACATGGTGACTGCATTCACTCTTCCTCAAGGTGAGCAAATCATGTTTTTTTTTCTGTTGCATTTCACTTTTGCTGTTAAGATATAATGCTTATGAACCTTTTCATTCTTCCTCCAATTCATTATTCTCATATGTCAGAGAGAAACATTGAATAAAGTCTTAATCCTCATTTCAACCCCTTAAACACCAAATCCAAATAATTTCACTTTCAATTATTTCTTTCCAGCTTATTACAGCTTAGATGAACAAGTTCCAAACAAAAGTATTCAAAACCCATAAACCGCAACATATTCATGTGATAGATCAACAAAACACTGTGCATTACGTGAAACTGGAGAAGAATGACACAGTGTTTTCAAGTTATTCAATATATACACAAGTCAAACTGTGCATTTGTAATTATTTTGAATTCCTGATGAGTAAAGTAGCGAGACTGCAACATTGCAAGTCTTTAAGGGTCGACACTAGCTTTGCACATCTGCAGACTGAAAGTTTTGCTTATTCTTCTAGGTTCACTGTTCTGCTGAAAGATCAAACCTCACCATAGCTTCAAGTGATGATGCAGCTTCAACCATGCATCATCACGGTATGTTCAGGGTGGTGTGAGCCATAAGTTGTCAATCATACATAGCTTATTGGCTGCTTATGTCATTACAGCTGTCCCTCCTCAGCATGACAGTTTAGATCGAGGTATCAGAGTGCAGGGAGCTGAATACTTAATGCAAACCACAATTTTCAGCTTTTGAAAAACCATGTATTATTTACCTTCAACTTTACAATGATTTACTATATGGTGTTGGTCTATCACATAAATCCAAATCAAATACACTAAGATTTGTTGATTAGTTATGACAAAAAAAACAAAACAAAACAAAACAAAAAAACTAGTGCAAGTATTGGAAGTAATAGTATATTAACACACCTCGGAGCAACTTGTGCAGAACGGCCGTTCAGAATCAAGCTTAAAGCGTAAGCATTCATTAGTTAAATTAGTTTAAAATCAGCTGAGAAGATATCTAGATTTTCACATTTCTGTTTCAGAAGTCTATGCTAATTCACAAGTAAGCAGGTCAGAGAGTCATGGTCAGCAGAAACACAACACATCGACGCTGCTTAAGAAAATAAACAGTGCCGAGGAGCAAGGTTAGCTGGCTAATTAGGGTAATACCCCCGGAGGACCGAGGTAACAGGTTTCCACAGGTACGTTTCAACCTATCGCTAAATGTTTTATGTACATAAAATGCTGACTTGTCCTGTTTAAGTTGAAGAGCTGCTAAAAATGTGCTCCGTTTTCTCTGCGGCAATTGTTTAGGTTAGCATCTAGCCTTCACGCTAGGTTGTCCTCCAACATCTCGGAGGGGCTGCTAGAGTGAAGGCTAACACGGGGAGGACGAGGCTGACCACGTTCTGGAGGAGGCCTGAGAGGGAGGAAACAACCAGCGGTGGAGAGCTACGGAGCTCCAGGACCAAAGCAACCGCCCGTTCGCACCCAAACATACTCACCAGCTACTCGGAAAGGAGAGTTTTCTGTCGAAAAACAACCACAAAGGCAGCGAGGGAGAGGAGCAATGGGATCGGCAGACATCTAGCCATGCGAAGCCTGGTCTCTCTGGGGAAGCACCGCGACTGTGGCAGCTGGGCTCGGGACTGAGCAAACGTGATGCTGTGCCAGGAGGAAGATCACCGAGCCCTGGAGCTCATACCGCTCCTGCAGAAGGCGCGGAATACTGCGCACGGCGCATGCGTACTGGACGGCATTTGTATCCGAGCCCACAGTGAATTTGACAGGTCAAGTGAACAGGGGCGGTCATTGCATTTTACCGCTGGGCGGCAAGGAATAGACAAAGGCACACAAACCTCCCCCAACCTACCCTCTCTGCCTTCTGTCCTCCTCCCCCCCATTTCAGTGCTAGAGTCAGCTCTTAAAGGGATAGATCAGGATTCTGTTGTTAAATGAGTTGTATGAAATAGTTAATAATTTCTCTGGTAGATTGTGTGTTTGTTTTAGTGTAAATACAGATTAATTGGGCCCAAAGCAGATGGAATGGTGTAAACAATCCTTTAAAGTCTTTGTTCAACTGCAAAATTGCTGCCACATTGTGAGGAGCATTTTTGTTAAAACTTAAGCAAAAAGTTGCACAAGGTAGTTCTGTAAGGAATCATGGCTAAGTTTTGTGTCCGCGTGGCCTGCTCTTATACTGTGAAGCATGAAAAGCACAAAGATAGTTAGTTTTCACAAATGTTTGTGAATAAACAAAAAAATAAAAAATAGAATATATAATCCACAGCAAATAAGGCAATCACTGGCAAAACTTTAGATATATAAGCAGTTTTGACTCCCGAACAATAATAAAATTTTTGTCACTTGTTTTTAGGAATTGCAGCAGCTGCAGTGCGCCACAATTAAGGTACAATAAAGCT